AACTAATGGCAAGGTAATGTGTCTAGATAGCAAAATTCAGATTTGGACTTGTGAAATTCACTAATTTTTAAAAATTATGCTGCACTGGTAGGATATCTTGATCTGTGGATTTATCATATCCATGTCTCTGTTAAGAATTTTTTTGGTGGTTTTTGCAGCAATTTCTGACATTAGTTTTTGTGGAAACAAAGAAAGGAGCTGATGCATTGGAGCACTGTTTGTGTGTTAATGGATTTCCTGCAACTAGCATTCATGGTGACAGAACACAGCAAGTAAGTCTACATAGCTAATTGAAATTTATATTTAAATGTAAAACATATCAGTTATATGGTTCCATGCAAATTACTTCTTTGTTTTAAGTTTCTTTGTTGTTTCTTGTGGTGGTCAGGGGCTTGAATTAATTTAGTCCAAATAAATTTAGTTAATCAGAGTTTGAATCGCATTTGAAGTTTTAAATGTCCATGAGACTTTAAAGGGATTTTAAAATTTTAGCAGCTCAATTTGTCTCCCAAAAAAAGTTAAAACATCAAATTTTGGCATCTCCCATCCCTGTTAATCTCTACTTCTGCTACTATATAAAGAGGATCAGTATTTGATTTCCACTTTTTACTGTTCCTATAAACCTAGTCTTTAGCTTTTATAATTAAATGAGAAATTTCAAATTAACCACGAAAACCCAGCTCTTTGCTCAACTACTTAAGGAACTTTCTAACTTTACTTTAACATATTGCAATTTCAAAGTATTTTATTCAATATTTGAATTTATTAAGGGAGAAAATTTTCTATGCCATCATTTAATTAAATAATAGTTTTCCTGGCATACCTGCGCACTGGTCACTCTTCTAGTACATATAATGTGCTCTTTCCATTTGAATGAATAGAATCCATGCTTTATTTTCAAAGTTTATTTTTATTGTTGGTAACCTTGATATTAGTTTGCTCCAACCTTTTTGTAAGCCTTGAATTTGTCTCTTTGGCAGCTGCTAGTTGAAATAATTCTTATGATTTGCTTATGTTGCAAATCTAGACAAAGCATGTCCCAAGCCTGGATAAAAAAAATTAGTTGTTGGGCAGTCGACAATCGATATAAAACTTTGTTGAATCTCAATGACCAGGACAAATAGAGTGAGTGTTAGACAAAACCTCATGATGTTATTTGATCCATATAGCCAACCCCGCCATGCAGTATAAGGTTTTTGTTGTTTATTATTTTTTCTTAAAGTCTCTCTGAAACTTCTTTTTGAAACTGGATTATTGTTTAGAAAAAGCTTTCACAGATATTTTTAGTTAGAACTTCTGAACGAAAAGTTGTCATTAGATATGTTTCATTTGGTCTGTTTACTAATGAAAAATAATGTGGACAATGTAATGACTCTGTATGCAGGAAAGAGAACTAGCATTGAGGTCATTCAAGAGTGGAAACACACCAATTTTAGTGGCCACAGATGTTGCAGCACGTGGCCTTGATATTCCACGGGTAGCACATGTGGTAAATTTTGATCTTCCTAATGACATCGATGATTATGTGCATCGGATAGGAAGAACAGGGCGAGCTGGGAAAATGGGATTAGCAACAGCCTTCTTCAATGACAGTAATTTGTCCATGGCCAAACCATTGGCTGATCTGATGCAAGAGGCAAATCAAGAAGTACCTGTTTGGCTCACACGCTATGCAGCAAGGGCTTCTTACGGTGGTGGCAACAGAAACAGGCGGTCAGGGGGAGCCCGCTATGGTGGCCGCGACTTTAGGAAGGAGGGCTCATTTAATAAAGGAGCAGATTACAATGGTGGAGCAAGTGGGTATGGGGTTCCTGCCAATTATTGCGGAGGGTATGGTCAAGGTGTGACTAGTGCTTGGGATTAGATTATTGTCCCATGGCTAATATCCATCCTCATGTTTGTGTATATAAGTTTCAGATTTTAATGATGAAATGTTTTTTCTTCTCGACCATGATTCGCCTGAATTCATGCATATTCCATACTCCAGGAAATCTTGTCATATCTAAGGGTCTCATTTTGGACTTAAACTATGGGCAACTTGTGGGAGGATTAGGGTTGTATCTTATTTGTTTAGAAGTGAAGCAAGAATCAAGCAACCATGTTGTCCCAACATGTGATTGTGTTGCAATTGAGGTCTTAGAACCATTTTTTAGACTTAGGGAGAAAGCCTAAGAGTGGATTGAATCTTTTCCTTACTCGTGTTTCATCCATTTGTTGGCTTCATATTTCTCTTATGCCTTCTTTGGGGACATTAGGCTTGTTTCTTGGAGGGGTACTTTCATGGAGATCCTATTCAAAATTGCATGTTTCCTAGCTTTTTTTTTTAGCTTGATGTCTTGAAGAGCTTGTTATCATTAATTTTTTCCCAAGGGTGACAATCTTAGCATCTTGATTTTCCAATTGCTGAAGATTGTAACACCTTGATTTCGGAAAAAGAATTGGGAAAAATATTTAAATTTTTAGAGTAATGATTGTTCTAAGCCAAGATCCTAGAAATCCATGACAATTATTTTTGAAAGATATAAAGAATTTCTTAAAATGAAAATTGATTAAATTTGCTTAGTGAAAATAAATTCGCCAAGTGAATTGCCTCGCCCAACTAAAAATGTAATAACTTTGATATGTTACAGTTTCGCTCAATGAACTTGAGGCAGAGAGTCCACTTTGATTACCTCCATATTCTCACTTAGCACATTGCATCACTCAACTTCTGTTATGTTTAGCGCAGAGAAATTCAAACAACTCAAAATTATGTCTCACCACATCATTTAATGACTCTAATTTCACTAGGTGAGTTTCAAACCTGGCGAAATGTAACTTACATATCTAGCAAAGAGTGATACATCATATAAACCCATCATGAATTCAACTCACATATTTTCTAACTAATGTGTTTTCAAAGGACTTAAACTCATATTTTTTAAAGTAAAAGCAAATTGTAAATTATTTTCTAAATAATCTCATCCATACTAAATTTCATAAATTAAGCTATAACACTCAAAAAGTGTTTGTAGCATCCCAAAAGTAGATAAGTATTTTTGTATGGTAATCTGATGTTTCAAATACTGACAATAATTAAAGTGCACAAAATGTAGGTGTCCCTATCATAGTATCAAAGGTCACTAATGTTATAAACAAATTTTTTTACTAACTACAACTTAAGTCAAGAGAAATGTACTCATAATTTCCACCAATCCTCCACTTTAACTACCCCATATGAAATGTTGTGTAACTATAATATGTACACGTATAAGAGAAATACAGAATAAACAAAGTCATTTATTCTTAGAGACTTTAGGTGTAGAGACTTAAATTTGAAATTTTTACTTTTATTTTAAAACTTTGCAAGTTTAAAAAGAGTTTTTCTATGAGCGGAAGTATTAAACAAAATAGTTGAGTAAAAGTAGAAGATAATGCAAAATGTAAAAAGTTAAGGGAAAAGAAGATCACACCAAGATTTATATTGGTTCACCTTCAATTTGAAGGCTACGTCCAGTCCTTCTTGTTACCAAGAAGATTTTTCCACTATTGCAAGAACCAATGATACACCTTCTTCGTCTTCTTCCAAGACTACTCACCTATTCCACTAGGCACTAGGCTAACACCGTTCTTTCACAATATACTGCATTTCACCACACTTGGTGAAATGTTTACAAGACACTAACTTGTATTCTTAAGATGGTTTTTACAAGGTTTTTTAATAAGTGACTCTCTAATAGTAATTGAAGCCTTATGGATGGAATCACTCACTAAATGATCACGTAATTTAGAATCAAATAACTTGGACAAAGGCTTTTGTTTGTGCTTAAGACTTTGAATAATTTCCAGAATTGGAAAGATATGAAAATTAATTTCAAAGTCTTAACTCTTATGAATGAATGAAAGAAATCATGAGAACTTTGTGACTTTGTGAGTATGAAAGTTGTATTCAGATTTGTGTTTGAAAACAAGTCATAAAACACCTATTTATAGTGTTTAATTCGTGCATATGAACCAGTATGAGTTTGTGAAGAGTTAAAGCTACAACAGTTCAATCAAAACAGAACCAGTATACTGTTCTGATAAGTGTAATCGATTACCATATAGTGTAATCGATTACACCAGGTAAAAATTTAAAATACAAACTCAACGGATTGATGTAATCGATTACCAAACATAGTGTAATCGATTACAATGTGAAAAATGCACATATCTAATGCTTTTAATATTCTGTAATCAGTGTAATCGATTACATCATGCAAAATGCACAGGTCTGATTAGTTTATCATCATGTAATTGATTACCAGGATAGTGTAATCGATTACACTTATCAGAACAGTATACTGGTTCTGTTTTGATTGAACTATTGTAGCTCTTAACTTTTCACAAAGTCACATTGGTTCATATGCACGAATTAAACACTATAAATAGGTGTTTTATGACTTGTTTTCAAACACAAATCTGAATACAACTTTCTTAACTTATAATCATACATGAATGACTAAGTTTAAAAGTTAGTTATGAGTAATGATCACTTAGAAAAATCATGTGTTTGTATATGTGAACACCCAATTTTGTCCTACCCAATGGCAGTACCAAAATGTTTGTCTCTCTGTCAATTTACATTAAACCATGTTATTTTAGTGAGATTATATGGATTATAGCCTCTATTTCATTAGCAAAAAAGTAATTAGTTTATAAGTGTTTAAAAAGTTAACTAAATTGGCTTGTGTCTGAGCTATTGAATTTTCTTTTATAACTCAATTTTTCAATCTCTTGACATTCATATTCTTAAAAAAATTCATATTCCAGAAAACAACTTAGTTAATATTTTTCTAAAAAATTCTTCAACAATCTCTTACTTAATTGATATGATATCTTGTATTTTTTATATTGCAATCCACCACTCTTTCATATACAGTTTTGAATTGCTTCTAATTAAAAAGATGTTGATGTTGTTGGTAACAATTCAGCATTCAACTCATAAATTAACACACTATAGAACAAACAACCTTCAAAAACTACTTAATAAAATTTGCATTTGATAAATCAGGAAATGTCAGTAAACATCTGCTAATGCAAAATTAGGAACTCAAATTGCATTACACTATCGATAGTTCTGCATTCATGCTCATTTAATTTTGTAATTCATGCCATTGAACCAAAGCCCAAAAAGAAATTTCAGTAAACAAAAATCTTACATCAGACTGGTTTTGATTAGAATCTTAAGCCTGCCTGGTATGCAGAAAATATTAGTGCAGTCAACAATGCAACAAAACCAGGGGTTAAATCTGGAAGCAGAAAATATAGTGCTAGTATAGTTACATGTTCATGCATGTCACTAATTCACAATCGCAAATGCTTTTCAATTATCTCTGTGTTGGACTGCTGCTGATTTGCTAAGGCACAAACTTGACCGTGAAGATTCCTTCATGCTTGCAAAAGGGCATTTGAATTTTCATTGCAAGATAGAAGATGTGTACGAAATTCATAGAATGATGAGGAAACTGAAGAAAGACTTTTATACCACACAGGGAACTATAATGTATCTAGCTCTCCAAAAGCTTCTGAATCATCATGCAGGTTTTTTTTTCAATACAGGAGTTGCACCAAAAGTAGAATTGACCTGCACGGATATTTCCAGAAGTAGTGAAGTTAAGCAACTTTGGTTGCGACAGGAGGAGGCTAATAAAAAGTTGAAAGCTGATACAGAGAGGGGGAAAACAAATAAGAGATCAAAAAATCAAACTTTTCAACATAAGAAACATGAGCTTAAAGAAGCAAGTGCAGAAATTGATTGAATTGTCTTAGCATTACCTTGAAGATTAATGTTCCTAAACAGGGATGTGGTGACCAGTCACATTAGACTCTTTAGAAACACTACGATAAACCAACCGAAACTTGGAAAGTACTTAATGCAATGCATCATATTCAGGCAGTTATAAATTGAATACTGAAAGGAAAAACAGCAGCACTAAACAAATGCAAATTAGAGCAATTATCATTTCAGTTACACAACCAAGTGGCAATATTGATGACTAATTTTAATGGAAATAAACAGAGGCAAAAGGAAGGGAAGTAGAATCAGCCGTGGATTACACAAATACAAACCAAAAGTCAGAGATACCAATCAGCTTTACAATCAGCAGTAATATGCTAACATAAAGGGTATTTTCAGTTATGGAATCAGCTTAGTAGTAAATAACAATCATCAAAATAGTAATCAGCAGCCACTCAAAAGCCTAACGGTTGGAAATTTAGAAGGTTATGGGTTGTTTGCTAAGTCCAATTGGCAAACCAAAAGGTTCCTTCCGAATCCTTTATAAACAGCCATCATACTACATGCAGGGGGACATAGATCACAGACCTACACCCATAACGTACTTCCAGAATTTGTTTTCTTCCTTGTCATCCCATACACGTCCCTTAGCCTAGCAGTCCAACACTCATCATTCATATCCCCATATCAACAAAGAACCCAAAAACACTACACACATAGAAACATACACATATTAACATATTATAATACCTAAGCATTCATTCTCTATCCTATACAAACACCATCCAAAGTTGCAATCTTCATTATCCCTACATAAAATTACCAACACCGAAATATCACCTACACAACGCTAACCCAGAACAAGCACCACCAATTAGGATCAATACGAAATCAAGAAGGAGTAATCCAGGGTCAAGATCGGCCAGAAACCAAAACCGGCTTTTAAAAGCATATTTCTCATATATAAGATCATTCGAGAGATAATTAAACTAAAAGAGAAATTGCTGTGTTGAACCACCGAAAACTGGGCTGCCATATGCACAGTTTATGACTTCTAATCACGCAAAGAACAGAAAGGGTTATAGTTGATTACCTAATCCGTTTCAATCCCAATGGTCTCAAGCGTCAAAACAGTGAGTCGTTTACTTTTGCCGCCATTGTCGTCGTCGCTCGTCGGAGAAGAAAGAGGAAGGAGACGACCAACAATGCTTGAACCATGAATCCGAGCCGTCGGATTACCAGTCACGAATCACGCCGCCGTTTCCTCTGCCGGTAAGCCGAAATCGCTGCCACCATTGATGAAGATGAATAAGGGAGCTTGATTTAGGGATTTACAAGCCCTTTTCGTTTCTGTGTTTGTGAAGGTAATGGGGTAACTTCCTCAACAATAACCTCATCTGTGTTTTTACCACTTTACCCCTATGCCTTTCAACTAATCCCCTATCCCTTTTTGAGTTCATTTTTTATATGGTGTTGTTTTAATATTTATTTGTTTTATTCTACCACTACCTGTTTATGCAACTTTACTGGAATGGGGTAATGGATGTGTTTTATAAATCTTAAACAATGATTATCCTTGTATTTGGAATAACACAAAGTTGGTATTAAATAAAAAGAAAAAATAAAATCCAAATGATTTTCAAAAAGAGTTTGATAGTCTGGTCGACGACCCGTGTCGTTTCTACCTTTCTGTCCTAAAGATGGAAAGTCGATGTACTACCAGTGTTGTCTCTTTACTATCAACTCTAGTCTTATAAAAACAAGTACTTCTAAAAAATATTTTTCTAAATTAAATATTCCTTAATGATTTTTTAAAAGAGTTTGATAGTCTGGTCGACGACTTGTGTCGTTTCTACCTTTCTGTCCTAAAGATTGAAAGTCGGTGTACGACCAGTGCCGTCTCTTTACTATTATCTCTAGTTTTATAAAACAAGTTATTTCTAAATACTTTTAAATACACCCTTTTACAGGAAATATTTTCAAATGTCTTTGAAACTCAAGTATTTCCAAATTAATAGTCTGGTCGACGGCCCGTGTCGTGTCTTCCTTTCTGCTTTAAAAGGAAAGACGGTCTACGACCAGTGCTGTCTCTTTACTGTTAATTCATATTTCAAAAAAATTATATTATTATCTCTACGATGAGTGTTACAATTTTAATCGAACCAAATTTATCAAACAAATTTTATCAAACCAAACCAAACAAACCAATCAACTTTCGAACCAAAACTAAGTAGTATTGATTTCCCTATTGCACCTAGGGATACGTAGGAGCAAGACGAACTCTTGTCAGGCAGAACAATAAAAAATAAAACATTTTTCTTTTATTATTGAATTTTAATAAATAATTTTTAAGGGTATGAAAGTTTATGTTATTAGTGAGGGTACTGTTTTATTACGGGCGGACGGGGTGCTAATACCTTCCCCGATCCGTAAGCGACTCCCAAGCTCAAAATCTATGTTCAAAGGCCAAATTGTCCAAATTGGGCATATAGAGATTTTTCTACATTTTAACCGTAAAAAACGTAGTGGTGACTCCAAATCAATTGGAAGAGGTAGAAATCGAGTTCGCGATAGTATATTTTAATTTTGATCGTTCAAATATTATATGATGGTTCATATTAACTGTTTTTTCGTTTCTCACAATAAAAATTATTCTCACTTTAGTCATTTCTTATGGCGCAATATGTGAAATTATATAGAATATAAACATCATAACATAAACATAAAGAAATAATTATAAAAGCATGTGAATCATCCAAGTGGATACAATGCATGAAACAAATATCACATATCTCTAAAGGTGTTTTATTCTCTGTACCGGACCAATCAAATATCATCGCAGTTGTTTGATATTGACAGGTATAGGCCATTGCAGTTGTAACACCCTTAATTTCACTCCTTAAAATTATAGTATCAGTCCTGGAATTCTCGCTTGAGCAAGGGGTTCTCGCCTGGGCGAGAAAGGTTCACCTAGGAGGGTGAAATCCTGGGCTATACTGGAGGATTCTCGCTTGAGCGAGAGTAAGCTCGCTTGAGCGAGAGTGGCTTCGCCTGAGCGAGAGTCGGCTCGCCTGGGCGAGAAAAGTGACATTTTGGACCTGTCGAGGCTGTAAGATTCTCGCATGAGCGAGAGGATCCTCGCTTGAGCGAGAGATGCCTCGCCTGGGCGAGAGTTCCCTCGTCTGGGCGAGAGGGTCAGGTATGAGTTTTTAAAATGGGCGGGATTTTCTCGCTTGAGCGAGAATGAGCTCGCTTAAGCGAGAGCCCGACGAGTGCATTAAATGATGAAAACCCCAAACACATTTTAGGGTTAAGATTTGAAGAGAGGTGAGAGAAGAGAGCATTTTCAAGGTCAATGAGCTTTGATTCTCGTCCAAGAGCTTGAGAAGAGAGCATTTTCAAGGTCAATGAGCTTTGATTCTCGTCCAAGAGCTTGAGAAGAGATAAAACTCTTGATTCTAACTCTCTTCTTCCCTTTGAAACTCATTTTGGGTATGTTGGATCTCTTCTCAAAATATGAGAAACCATGGAAACTCACCCTTTTGAGTTATGGTTCGTTTTATGTTGTTTTTCTCTCATAAACTCTTGGTTTAGAGTTAGTATTTCAAGAATGGAAAATGGTTTGTGGGTTGATTCATGAAAACTTCAAAACCCTAAAAATGAAAATGTGGAAAAATGGGGAAATGGGTAAAATGCTAGAGGTAGAAGATGAGTTTACATTCTAATGTTGAAATATGAGATAAATATGTATGTTTTAGATGGTTGTAAACTCATGATGAAAGTAGTTTAGAAATATTGAAAATATGATGAATATCTTGTATGGTTAAATAATGTAATATAAGTTGTTTATGTGATATTTGGAATAAATAACTAACATTGTGTTATATGGTGAGAATGAGGAAAGATCCTAAAGTTGGAGGCGGTATCGGTGGAACTTGCGAAGTTGCCAAGAACCAAACCCAACACTCACCGAGGTAAGGATAAGTCTATACTTGTGCACTTGAAATAGAAAATGTATGTATTTTCTGGTTGTGCAATGATTAAGTTGTGAATCACGTATTTAATATAAACATATATGAGTGTGTTTATACTAATGATGGCGTGGGTTTACGGAAAATGATTTATGATGAAATCAATGAAAAGAAAATCTATTTTTAGCCGACCATGAATGGTTAGCAACTCCGACTCGAGTATATGTAGCAAAACTCTGGCTTGAGTATATATGCGAAACTCTGGCTTGAGTATATAAGCGAAACTCTGGCTTGAGTACATAACCGAAACTCTGGCTTGAGTATATAAGCGAGACTCCGGCTCGAGTATATGTAGCACGTTTTCGTCTTAAAAGAAAAGGGAATCTGTTTTTAGCTAACCTTAAAGGGTGTAGCGACTTCGGCTCAAGTTATGCAGCAAAGAAAGTGAATTTCAAAATGATTTACTAACCCCTTTAAAATGTGGATTATCTCATAATGGTATTTGTTATTTTGATGACTTACTCCCTTGTTTGTTGTGTAACGACCCGATTTTTTTACCCTTGAAAATTTTTCGTTTATTTTAATCATTTCTTACATACAGTCGTCACCTTCATTGAAAACTCTCAAGTATCATTTTCGAAAATACTCTTTACCCTATTTTCTTATCATACAAATTTATGTTGCGGAAAAACATAATTCATTCAAATAGCATTTAACACATACAACCAGTTATGGGTCTCCCAAGGTTGTAAAGCCCATAACTACACATATCCGTATTGATCTAAACGGATTTACAGTCATCCCATAATACTATTAAATCAACTACAACGTCACTTAGCAATACAGACAAGCGAGTAATTAAACACAAAAGCTTCCTAATTGAGCTTCATCCTCAAAATCCTTCATTTACCTACAATGGGATTATCATAAACAACACACAAAACAAAAAGGGAGTAAGTCATTAGTTTAAAAACTAATATCACATGATAATCCACATTTCAAATACGATTAAACTATTATAAACGCAATTACGTAAATGCAAACATTCATCTCTTCTTTCGTTCATTTCTACATTATCCATATTCATCCTATAGAATACATATCCCATAATATATATTCTATAGCATGCATATTATGTTCATTCGAAGCATCGTTCTTCTCATTATTCATATCCACACTATAGTATATATATATCCCATACTATATATCTTATAGCATGTATATTACTTTTATCCTTAACGTCTTCATTTCCAACATTCATATTCACCCTATAGTATATATATCCCATAATATATATCCTATAACATGCATATGACTTTCGCTCTTAACGTCCTCGTTTCTCATATGTCGTATTCATCCTTAATCGTATTGACCGAGTCCTTTCACAACTATAATCTCCTACCACCTCGGGTAGATCCAATTACATCTCCATACCACATCGGGTAGGTCTAGTTCACCATCCATACCACATCGGGCAGGTCTAGTTCATCATCCATACCACATCGGGCAGGTCTAGTTCATCATCCATACCACATCGGGCAGGTCTACTGTTATATTCCATACCACATCGGGTAGATCTAGTTATACTCCATACCACATCGGGCAGGTCTAGTTATAATCCATACCACATCGGGCAGGTCTAGTTATACTCCATACCACATCGGGCAGGTCTAGTATTATATTCCATACCACATCGGGTAGGTCTAGTGTTATGCTCCATACCACATCGGGTAGGTCTAGTTATACTCCATACCACATCGGGCAGGTCTAGTTATACTCCATACCACATCGGGCAGGTCTAGTTATACTCCATACCACATCGGGCAGGTCTAGTTATACTCCATACCACATCGGGCAGGTCTAGTTATACTCCATACCACATCGGGCAGGTCTAGTTATACTCCATACCACATCGGGCAGGTCTAGTTATAATCCATACCACATCGGGCAGGTCTAGTTATACTCCATACCACATCGGGTAGGTCTAGTATTATATTCCATACCACATCGGGTAGGTCTAGTGTTATGCTCCATACCACATCGGGTAGGTCTAGTTATAATCCATACCACATCGGGTAGGTCTAGTTCACAATTCTTCACTACCATTCCCGGTAGGATAACAATAACAGTCCACTACCACTCCGGGTAGGACACAACAACAGTCCGCTACCACTCCGGGTAGGACACAACAACAGTCCGCTACCATTTAAGGTAGGACACAATAACAGTCTACTACCACTCCGGGTAGGACACAACAAACAGTTCACTACCACTCCGGGTAGGACACAACAAACAGTTCACCACCACTCCGGGTAGGACACAATAACAGTCAACCACTACCTCTTCGAATAGGGTAACCACAATAAACCACTACCTATTCGGGTAGGGTAACAACAATCAAACTTACAACACATTACCTCTTTCACATACCTCGTTCACATCAGTGAGTATGAATTAGAGCCACTTATCC